GCTTATAGAAAGATGAACGATATCGTAGACTATTTTGATTCATTCGGTAATCTAAAGCCGCCGAAAGAACTTGTTCGTTATTTAGGTAAAGCAAAAATATTTTACAACGACGATCCATATCAAACTTATAACCAAATTAATTGTGGACATTTATGTTTAAAGTTTTTATACAATGGAGGCCATACTAGCGTACATAGACGGAAAAAGGACGCTGCAATCCCTTAAAGAAGATGAACTAAGCATACTTCCTGTCGACTATTTGATACGGCACGTTAGACCTGGAGAATTGTTGGATGTTTGGCACAAATTACCTAATGAATATAAATGTAATTTTAATTTACAAATTCGTTTACCTTGTTACGTACATTATAATAGACCTGACGCTCAAACTCACTTTGATGGGCCTGCAGATGCGCAGGCTGATTGTCACGCTTGTAATTATTATTTAAAAAAATAAATGAATAAAAATTATAAATGTGTATATATATATATATATAAATCCTTACATCACTCATTCTACATCAGTCATGTTGTTAACTTTAACGAGTACCACTAACGAGTTCTCATTCGTTCCGCAGACCCCAATCATATTAAATCCTGAAAATTCATATTTTCTAGGATTGTTGGGGTTCTGTTCGTACAATTCAATACCCAATATTGATGGAGAAAAGTTTTACTATTATGAAAATAATAATCGAAAAAAATTAAAGATCATCGAAATTCCTACGGGGTGCTATGAAATTACGGATATCGAAAAATATATAAAGAAGGAACTGGAGGTGCGAACCAACAGCATTGACGAGTTTTCATTGCAGCCGAATAACAATACTCTCAAATGCGAAATATACTGTCGAAATCACGCTATTTCATTTGTACAGGATGATAGTCTTGGTAATATTTTAGGATTTTCCAAGACAATTCTTGCTCCAGACCGAAAGTATGCATCGGATCTACCTGTAAACATTATAAAAGTATCTAGCATACACTTTGATTGTAACATTACTGAAGGAGCCTTCTACGGAGATAGACCTACGCATTCAATATACGAGTTCCCGATAATCGAAAATCCTGGATATCAGATTATAGAACGTCCACATAATCCGATATACTTACCTGTAAGCAGTAGCAGAGAAATAACAAACATAACTGTTGTGGCGCTTGATCAGCAGCAGAGACCCGTAAACTTTCGCGGTGAACTAAGTACTCTTCATTTGGAGTTACAAGAACGTTAAATGGGTTTAGTTATAAACACTTCTGCATACGTGACGTTGTCAGTACCAACCAGAGCTCCTCAGCGACAGGTCGTTATATCTACACAAAACCTATTATTTCTTAAATCGATTGGATTAAAACCTAAACGAAATGGGAAAACGCCAGCATGATGATGATGGTGATGAACCGGCGATGAAACGATTTCGATTCGATGAAGGTGGTATCGATCCAAAATTCAACCTTTATAAAAAACCACGATTTGATGATACCATTAGAAAAGAAGAATATCGATCCTATAGTCCATACGTTAAATCGTTCAACAACAGCGACGTCATTGAATTTATCATAAATCAATCTGATGCATTTTTCGCCATGCCTGACACTCTATTGGAAATTAAAGGAAAATTGGAAATTACTGGTGGTGGAAAATGTGAATTAGCACCCAATTTTGGGGCGTTTCTTTTCGATAGCTGTTCCTACAGCGAATGCTCTAGAGAAATAGAAGTCGTTAGAGATCCTGGAATCGTAAGCACCGTACGAGCCTTAACGTGCTATGGACCGGAATACAGTCGTTTCATGAGTATTGCGGGATGGAATTATCCCGATAACCCGCTTCTGAATGGTTCAAAACATTTCAATTTGCTTATGCCTCTTAAACACATTTTCAACGTTTTCAATGATTATACTATGATTACCTATGGTAGACAAACATTTCGTTTAGTTCGATCACGTAACGATAATGATTGTGTCATTGTCACAGAGCAGCCCATAACCGGAGGTAGTGGTAGTGGTATGACCTCTACAACCGTTAAATTGATAATTGAAAGTATGGAAGTAAAAATTAAACATATCTTCCCTAATGACGAAATTAAAATTAAACTTATGGAACCCATCAAAAATGATCGCCCTATATTGATTCCGTTTAGAAACTGGGAATTAAATGAACTATCATCAATAACTAAAGATTCTAAACGAGAAATTTGGGCCGTAAAGACTAGTGCTGCCGTAGAACGTCCACGATATATATTAGTTTGCTTCCAAACTGACAGGCGGAATAAACTAAGTAGCGACCCCACTAAATTTGATAATGTTAACCTAACCGGTGTTAGAGTATCTCTAAACGGGGAATATTGGCCAAACGAACGAATGCTTTTAGATTTTAAAGAAGACGACTATGCTATTGCTCACTACAACTACACAGAATTTAATGCAAACTATATAACCGGTACACCGAAAACGGCTCTTCTAAACTATGAAGCGTTCAAACGCTACGCATTATTTGTGATTGATTGTTCAAAGCAGGAAGAGACCATGAAATCTTCTACGGTTGACGTAAAATTGGAAATAGAAGCAGATACAGGATTCCCCGCTAATACCAAAGCATATTGCATCATAATTCATGATCGTTTGATGGAATATCGTCCTCTTACGGAAGTAGTTAAGAGTATTATATAAGTCTCTCAGTCTCGTTTCTGTCATCATGAGGATCGCATTCGTTGACATCCAAGGCTTCTGCATCGACGGTATTTTTCATCCAAAGGAATTGAGTATCGCAATTGGTTGTAAACAATACCACGCTTTGTTCACACCGCCTACACCTTATTCTAACCTAAATACGCCTGATAGAATTAGCGCTAGATATGTTGAGAAACATATTCATGGGGTCAACTATTCCTCTGGAGACGTGGATTATTCCAAGTTAAACTCGATTCTGGAAACATATTTACTAAACCATGCTGATTGTATTTACGTGCGAGGAAGTGAAAAAGCCGAATTTTTACTAAAAAATTGTCACGTGTCACGTCCTATAATAGTAGATGTATGCAAGTTCGATGGAACCCCGTGTGCAACAGAAAAATTCAGTAGTGACTCCAAAACCTGCATGTACCACGCCAATGGATCATTTAAATGTACCCAGAAGAACGTCGAAAGTCTACGCCAATGGTTTCTTAATTGCATACCTTTGTAATTTTTTTTTTGTTATTAATAAATGATTATTAAAGGAAATGTTTTTTAATTGAAACCCCTTATTAATTTCATGCATTTATTTTCGTTTTACAAGAAGAATAAAATTTTTTATTTATAATTTTTACAATAATTTTCAATATTATAAACAAAGTAGATGATAGTGTTATACAACTAACTACATATAATTTAGAATATTTGGGCTCTGACATGTCACTCAAATCGATCGGTGGTGGTGGTGGAGTCGTAACAGCATGCCAATCTTTGAATTCTCCTTCAGTGCCATCATTAAAAATCAATTTTAATTTGTATCTCTTTGCTTCATCGATTGCTATGGAAAACGTATTTAGCTTCATATTATTTACCACCGAGAAATTCATCTTTCGCCATTCCGTTTGATTATCAAAACGTATTGCCATCTGTTGTACGCCCAACGGTACATTGGTATACAGTACGTTGTTTAATATAGCCGTAAGTATAATGAAATTAGCCTTTAAGATGGCCATATTTGCGTCGGTTGGATTCTTCTAAGTGGATACTGATTAGGATAATATCTCTCAAAGCCTTTATCCCAAAGACTTAAATTTGTCAAATCTCTTAAAACTTGTTTTTTATCTTCATATAATTTTATGTCTCTTCTTAGTTTTTGAACTTTTATACCAAACTCTTCAATTCTACGTCTATTCTCTTCGCTAGACATCTCAATACTGAATACTTATTTTACTTGTCGGGTGTAGGATACGCCTCCTCTCGGAGATCTGGGTTGTTAACCTTGACGCTTGATACTAGCAGAAACGTCAAACGTTAAACGTCAAACGTGAAACGTCAAACGTCAAACGTCAAACGTCAAACGTGAAACGTCAAACGTCAAACGTCAAACTTTTCGGTGCACATACCTCCATTTCCCCATTTAAATCGAGTGAAGATACACGCTAAGGTCCTTATGGCATTGCGCATGATTTTTTCTTTTCAACTTTAATCTATATTCCTCTCTCTACGTAATTCCGTTTTCCCCATTTAAATCGGACCAATAGCAGTGAAGATATACGCTAAGGTCCTTTTGTCCTGCCACTGCGCATGATTTTTTCTTTTCAACTTTAATCTATATTCCTCTCTCTACGTAATTTCGTTTTCCCTATTTAAATCGGACCAATAGCAGTGAAGATACACGCTAAGGTCCTTTTGCCCTGCCACTGCGCATGATTTTTTCTTTTCAACTTTAATCTATATCCCTCTCTCTATATAACCCCCTTTTCCCCGTTTAAATCGGACCAACGATAGCTGAGATATACGCTAAGGTCCTTTTGTCCTGTCATTGCGCATGATTTTTTCTTTTCAACTTTAATCTATATCACGCTCTCTTCATAATGCCGTTTTTCCCGTTTAAATCGGACCAACGATAGCTGAGATATACGCTAAGGCCCTTTTGGCTTTACCACTACGCAAAATTCTATTCGACGAAATTTAATCCCCCCACTCCCCCACTACCCCGTTTTCCTCTCAGACCGTCTGTCTCACTCTTATTCATTGAATATGTACCTCTCACTCTTACACGTTGAATTCCCTATGTGAGGCCATACATAGGTTGTCTATCTACTTAAATCAATAAATGAGCAATTCAAAGAAAAACTTGATGGCATCAACAACAATATTATTAAAATGATAGCTGATGTTGTTACATCTACAATTTTTGAAAACTTTCGAAAAGAGATTACCCAAAAATTAGAATCGTCTTTCCAGTTAATTGAAACTAGCCTAAAAGAATTAATATCTGAGAAAATTAACCGACTTTTGCTGATATTGCTTCGAATTCTAAATTTGTGCTTCATCCTAAAAATACAGTCCAACCTGAATCTACAACAAAATCTGAAGTTCTGCGAAGCGTTGATCCCATAAACGCCAATATTAATGTCTCCAATGTCACTGGAACTCGTCAAGGTGGGTTAGTCATTAGTTGTGGAAATAAAGATGACTTCCAAATTTCAACATATCCTCAACACTAATCTAGGTGACAAATATGATGTGAAATCTATCTCCTCTCTCCATCCACGAATCAAGATCGCTTATATGTGTGAAAAATTTGATGATGACACTCTTTTGGACTATCTTAAACAACAAAATAAATCCTGTTTTACTGAAAATTCTGCTTCCAAAATAATTTATGTTAAACCGTACTTAAAAAATAGCAAACTGTTCTTCCAAGCTGTCGTCCAGGTGGATGCAAATACTTACCACAAAGCTATGAAATTAGGTAAACTAACCGTCGGGTTTGATTTTGATTGTCCTGTTTACTGCGCTGTGGAACCACGTAGGTGTTTTAATTGTTGGGGTCTTCACCATTTATCAAATCAATGCAGTAAAAAAGACCCTACATGTCCCAAATGTGCCTCCAATCACGATGTAAAAGATTGTAACTCTGCTAGTTTAAAATGTGTAAATTGTGTTAATCTCAAATCCAACCATAACATAAATATTTCTGTTGATCATGTCGCTTGGGATAAAGAATGTCACTTCTATAAGAGAGGTACAGACAAAATTTAGAGATAGCATAGTGCCATCTCAATAGCAACCAACTAATTCATCTAAAAATCATGTCTGTATTAATTCAACTTCTAAATTTATATTATACTATCAAAATGTCAGAGGCCTTAGAACAAAAACTACCCAATTATTTGACAGTATTTCAGCTATTACACAATATGCAGGTTATTTTTTTACAGAAAGCTGGTGTAACGATACAATTCACGACGGAGAACTATTTGATCTCTTAACTTTCGATGTTTATAGGGTTGATCGGAAATATGAAGTGACGAATTTTTCAAGGCGTGGGGGAGTTATCTGTGCTCTGAAAAAGGAGCTAAATTCCAGTATGATTAATATAAGTGATCTATGTGTTTCAATTCCCGCAAATACCAATATTGATTTTTTACTGATTAAAATAAAACCAGGCTCCCAATGTTTATACAAATTGCTTATTTACATACCCCCTCTAGTTCAATTAATGATTATGAGGTAGTTCTGGAAACACTATCACTATTTACAACTTTATATGACAAAAATCTTCTTGTAATCGGTGATTTTAATATACCAAAGTACGTTTCTCAGATAATTGGTCCTAGTATGTCTGCCAAACTAAATGTTGTCAAAAATTTTGCAAATTTCTTTAATTTACAACAGTTCAATTTAGTCAAGAATAAATTTCAACGCTTACATATTGGATTTAGTTTACTTTAATAATGAATGCAAGGTTTACAGAGCTGATGAAATAGTATTAAATGAAGATGATTACCATCCATCATTATGCATAGAAATTTCAACAACAAATACAAATTCACCAATGCCCTGTAAACCAGATAATATGCAGTTCAATTACAAAAAAGCAAATTTCCCAAATCTCTACAATGCAATAAACAATATTGACTGGAGCTTTCTGCAAAATGTATCTAACATAGATATTAGTATTCAGTTATTGAACAAAAAATATATGATATTTTTAGAGAACATATTCCTATCAAAAAAACGAATTCTAGAAGTTATCCGCCGTGGTTTAATGGTAACATAATACACATGATTCGACAAAAAGAAAAAGCCCATAGAATCTATAAATCCATTCAGTCGGTAGACGCACTAAATACATTTAAAAACCTTCGCTCTAATATTAAACGAGAAATCTCATCCGCTCGCACTTTGGATTTGCGAAATATTGAGAGAAACATAAAAAGCGATCCTAAACAATTCTGGAGCTATATGAATTCTAAAAATTCTTCATTCTCTATACCAACATCAGTTGAGTACAAAAACTGCTTTATTCAAGACCCACAAGCAATCGTCCAGGCTTTTGCAGATCATTTCTTTAATAGTTCTTCTCAGTCAGCATCTTCCAACTACGCAAATGAATTCACTTCATATTTTCCGACGCTATACATAAAATCAATATCACAAGACGAAATTGCCAAGGCTATTAAAAAATTGAAACCAAATATGACAACGGGGCCTGACCTGCTACCTACCTTTATTATTAGAGATTGTGCACACATTTTCGCAACTCCTCTACATACAATTTTTAATAAAATTCTAAAATCATGCACTATTCCAAGTGAGTGGAAGATATATCGTGTAACTCCGGTTCATAAAAAAGGCAATAAAAATAATGTTGAAAATTATAGACCTATTAGTATTATATGTAACTTTGCTAAGATATTAGAATTCGTTCTTCATGATCATTTATCATATCATATTTCCCGATCTATATCCTCATATCAACACGGATTCATGAAAGGCAGATCCACGGTAACAAATCTTATTTGCTCCAGACAGTTTATATCAGAGGCCCTAGATAGAAAGAGTCAAGTAGATGTAATATACACTGACTTTTCTAAAGTTTTCGACAGAATTAACCATACCATCTTACTCAAAAAACTTTCCTCCATAGGTTTAAACACGGAGCTACATCTGCTGTTAACTTCTTATTTACAAGACAGACATCAGTATGTCCAATGCCGTGGTTATAAGTCAGAAAAATTCCAGCAGTTATCAGGAGTACCACAGGGATCAATTTTGGGGCCTCTTTTATTCAATATATTTTTGAATGATATTGTTCTAAACATCAATGATATAAAGGTCTTAATGTATGCAGATGATCTAAAATTATTGGTGGAAGTTCGTTCAACGAATGACTGCAAACTTTTACAAAAGTGTCTGGATGGTATAGCGGATTGGTGTCAGGATAGTTTACTCCCATTGAATCCAGAAAAATGTTCGGTTATATCGTTTACTAGGCGATTAACTGCTTTCACCTTTAATTATAGATTGCATGGTATTATTCTCAATAGGCCTGAGTTTGTAAGAGATCTGGGGTATATTTTGATCCTGAACTTACCTTCACTAAACACATTGAATCAATGGTGTCATCTGCCAATAAAACACTATGGTTTGTCACAAGAAGCTGCAAAGAATTCTCAGATATGTCCACACTAAAAATCTTATATAACAGCTTGGTTCGATCGAAACTTGAATATGCATCAGAGATATGGAGTCCCAGACAAAATGTATATATTGACCTAATCGAAAAAGTTCAAAGAAAATTTATGAAATCGGCTTCTTTTATATTAGATGGTATATATCCCCCAAGAGGCTTTTCTCATGATCTGCTATTGAAACAATTTAAACTCTCAGATCTGGCAAAACGTCGAACTATTCAGCAAATAATACTACTTTGGAAAGTTCTTAATGGTCACATTGACAGCATTGATTTGGTAAACTATATTCAGTTAAAAATACCACGCGCAGGGCTTAGGGTGTATTTTAGCTTTTATTTGCAAGCAGCAAGAACCAACATTTTAAATTCATCCCCACTGTATCAAACAATTAATGAGTATCTTACCATCCAAGACAGCTTGGATATTTTTGCTTGCAACATACTTCAAATTAAACGTGTTAATTTGGGTTAATGTGTTATAATTTTTAAAATTTATAATTTTTACTTATGTGTATTACTGAATTCTAGTTCATCGTGTAATCTTAGTTTAGTTATTGGTATTATTGTCAATTAAACATATAGTACTTTATTCTGTAATAGCTATCCAATGTTAATATCCATTTTTTCCTGTTTTGCATACAGCCACAGGTTTTTTTCATGGCTATTGAAACCTGGATTGCAAATAATAATGTATATTTATAGTCTTTATAATCAACATTTCTCTTAATATTGTTTTTCCCACCCGTTAAATGGTTATCACTGTTGGGTGGTGTGTTAAATAAATTAATAAATAATTTGAAAACATAACTATTTTTGGTGGTTGGCAGCATGGCTCACCCTGTATAAAAACTACAAATAGCGAAATAATTTATCTGTGGCGCAACTGTAGAATTATTGAGTGTTTGCAAAAATATATTGTGATTTATTCGTGAATCACCCTGTAACAGTAAATATTTTAAAATTTCGTTTTTTATGAACATCTGATCAAAAATTATATTTAACTTTTATATACATTAAGTCAATCTATCTTTTTAGTTTAAAGAAAAATAACTAAAATCAGCAATTCTCCACTTTAACGCCCTGTATCTCGAAAACTAGTCATAATATCGGATTTTAAATTCATACTTTGTAAAACGACATTAAAATTATTATATATTGAGAAAATGGTTACATTTGACGAGGGAAATTTTAGAATACAGGGTGTTCGTGGTTTTTGTTCTTTTCTTTATATAAAATACCTTTCAACAAATAAATCACCTTGTCCAAAATTCAACTAATAAGTACAGGGTTTTAAATTAATCGTTAAAAAAATAATTATATGTTGTGGTTCTTTTTATAAAACACCCTGTATAAGAAATGTGTACTATGCAATATTTTGTTGTCAAAATACCATATCAAGTAGTACTTTTTGAAAATATGCTTCTCTGACCGCACAGTAGAATTGGTGTGATTTTACAAAAAAATACCGTCATATATTTGTGAATCACCCTCTAATTATACATATTTTTAATTGTACGTATGTACTAATGTGTGACTGAAACTCATAGTAAACGTATGTATGCATCAGACATTCTGGCGCGTAAGTTTGCAAATAAAAATTCCCAAAAACTAGGCAATTTTTTACTTTAACGACAACTAGTCATAGGATTGAGTTGGGCCCGTTGACACTTTTGGTTACTAGGTTGACTACAACAACATACCAAAGTTTCAGAAAATTTGACGGATCGCCACTTTGCATAAGAAAAGTGCGGGATCCTTTAGGCGATTTTGTGAAGCATTTTCCCAAAAGTCCAATGGTTAAAAATTGCCATATGAGCCCACATCTATGGCTATAAAACGATAATCGACGTCAACCACTGCTAATAACACAATGGAGAAATAATGTTTGTAATTGTAATAGTTAGAGCCACTGTGCAGAAATGAAATCAATCGTACATGCTTGCCATCAACGCCTCTGACCGTATTTGGGAAATTTGTTTTTTGATAGTGTGACGAAAGTCTAATTTATTTAAAGTTTATTTATTTAAAACACACTATTTACAATTTATTTCAGACGTACTATTTAATTTATATAATACTTAGACACTAACAATTCTAATTTATTTCTTACACTTTAACTTTTCATTACAATGTTCTATATAAAACTGTCTATAATCAACTAAACTCGGCGCTGATACGTCGGCTATTTATATTAGTCCAATTCCGCTACTGGAAGACGCTAGAGGCTCTCGAACATTCCAATTCTATGACTAAACGGCACTCCCCGCCGTTCCAGCTGTTTCTAGTGCATCAGCGGCAGGCATTCCGTCGTTTCTTGTATATTCGAGACGCTATCCGATTGTTTTCACAAGTCAGCGTTGCTTCGATCACGAGTGGGTGTCCATGTGAAGGTTGCGCGCGTACACAGGGTAGCCTCTAAGAATTTCACAATAGAAATTTTCAAAAATTTCCAGCCAACGTTCTTTGGATGACCGTAGCCTCATTTCCAAAGGCTGTAAAACTTTTCATATAGATTGACATGTTTCCTTAATTATAGAAGACACTGTCCTACTTCCCATGAAATAATCCAATTTTAACGCTTCAAAATTTT